TAGGGGAACAGCAAGTAACCATTTATTCTACAAAATTAAAAATGGGCAAGAGATGAGAATTTAATTACCTCGAGATTATACTTTGCTAAATTAGGTTAAACCAGTAAGTTACAGGACAACAAAGCTAATGTTTTATGTGTGTGGGTGTGTATGTATATATATGTATATATACATAAAATTCCATCTTTAAAGATTAAGAATCAATGAAATACATGTGTTGAAGGAATGGCTTTCTGAATGAAAGTACCCTCCCACTCAAGTAGTAACAAGACATTTAGCTTTCATGCAATGTCACTTTTCATCCACAGGTGCTGTAGTGCTTTGCTCAGGCCACCTACAACTGATGACTACCCGACACAGAAGGCTTGTCTGGGCTGCACAGAGAGGCAGCAAGGCCCTGGCAGAGCTGTGCACCAAATAGCCTGAGATGTCTGACGTGCTCTGCTCAAAGCTGCTGAATTAGTCACACAAGAATGGTACCAACAGGAAAAGCATGGTAAAACCGTGCCATTTGGGACAACACAGCTCAGCAATGAGTACAGCGTGCTTATACTCATGAAAAGGCATGTGTGGTTCAGGAAAAGAAAAACATAATTGCAATTAAGACTATAAACAAGACTTTTTGTGATTAAATCTCTTCATTATGAGATGAGTATTATTCCCTGACTAGATATGTACTCTTTAGAGTCAGGCTCCTCTGTAAACAAAATTGCTTTTGAAATTTTCACAGGACATGGAATTAGGGATTATTCTTTTTAAAATATATGCTTTCTTGAACACTCTTTTCTTGGCTGAATAAAAATATGTAGTATGCGATGTAACATAACGCAACATAATATAAAGCACACCATATAAATTAAATGAAATTACATATCAATTAAAATATATAAAAATAAAAATATAAAATATACAAATATAAAATATACAAAAGATTTCAAGGAGAATAGAGGAGTTAATCAGGTAGTAGATTTCAGGTTTTACCTTTTTCTCTCTGAAGCATTCCAGACCACTTAGTCATGTCAGAAGTGGAGAAAAAAGGGAGCATTTTGTAATAAGATCGATGAAATTGTGTTTTGAAAAGGGGAAAAGAAAAGAAAGAAATAGATAAAAAGCTGACCCTTTTCTTTACTGAAACTTAAGTAATTGGATTGAGAATGCAGTTTACAGGGTTACAAGGTTCAGATGTAGATTTTTACAGGAGCAGGGCTTCTGTTTGGTATTTTTAGTGGGTGAGCATATTTTGGAAATTTTGATTCATTACTTTTTTAATCTAAAAAATTATGCTCGTTTTGCATGCTGTTAGATTTATATCATGTCATAGTTCTATTGTATACACAAGAGAACGTGCAAGTGCTGATGTTTTACTGTGGTAATTAGTCTGTTTCTCCCATAGCATTTTTTAAAAAGTGGGGAATAAATACATAAATGGAAAACTATTTACTACCTAAATCCACAGGTAGATGGCGAAAGACCTGCCTGTCTTTGGACCCTCTGGACAGACTTGCCGGCAGGGTAAGCATGAGGCTAAGAAGTTCTGAAGGACACCTTGCAGCTAAGGGATGGTATCAGCTCTTGGCTGGTGCCCATTTGAGCAGAATAGATTTACTAACAAAAAGCATTGCACACGATGTTAGCATTCTTCAGAGCCACACACTCTGTCAGCCCTTTCATTTTAAATATGTATTACTTTTAGAAAAGGAAGTTTACTTTGACTGCATTGTTTCACTTCCCTTAAAACACATTAAATGCAATGATCCTTTTAAAGACACTGAAGTTTTAAAGACACTTCCTTATCTCAGGGGATATAATGGCTCAAGATCACACACATGGTACAGGTACAAGATACACTACTCGTTCATATTAAACCATTCAGCATGCATTGAATGTCATGAAATTAAAACAATGTTTACAAACCCACAAGATTTCACTTTTCTCTTCGGTGAAATACATTGAAAACTCTCAAGGCATGATGAGGACAAAGGAGATCTCCTTCTGTATTATACAAGTCCTAGTTATTAATGTGAGGATGAAGCCAATTAGAGATTAGGTATATGGCCGAGAAAAAAATTAAATTTAAACCTCTTATACTTGCATTCATACAACTGCATTGCTATTCATAGCAATTCCATAACTGAGAAATGAGCTGAATCCAGTTTCTTTAACCCAGGGACAAATTTAACTCAAGAACGCAGGTGGTTTGTATTCTGCACGTGTGAATGGTCTACAGCTTTTCTGTGTTATTAGTCTAGTTTCAGCCATTTTAGCAATTCCATTGTATTTTGTTCACAGCCTTTGGCTTCCACCCTTTTTCATTTTCCCTTTCTCCTGCCAGACTCTTAATCAGCTTCTCTGGGAATTTATATAGCTCCCATGGCTGCTGTATAAGAACACCTAACAAACATTAATGCCTTTTTATCTTCACTGCACCCTTATTCATAAGAACAGTGTTAATTCACATTATACAGTGAAGGAACAAAAGGACAGAGAGATTAAATGACTTGGTTATCAGTGGAAGAGAAATCTGTACAGCGCCAGGAACTGAAGGCAAATATGCCTTAGCTTTAGCCCCAAGTACCTCCTTCCTACTATCTGCCCATCGCAGAGCACGAACAGCCTCAAGCATTTGTTGCTCTGTCCAGGCACAAAGAACAGTCTCGAAGTCCCGTGGTGGAGGTACCTGTGCTGGAAGTCTGTTGTAGCACCTACATGGTGAGAAAGCAGCTCTCCCAAAAAATAATGTTGAGAATCAAAGTTGGGAGCCCCTCTCTCTTTCCCTCCCTCTCACTGTCAAACAGCTAGGATGCCTGGGTGTCTAAATCAAGCATCCAAACCAGCTCTCTAAAGTAGATGGTATGAGTCATTTAGCTAACTTAAAATGTCCTGTACTGATCCACAAAGAGAATCCCATGAAGTTTTTCATGTCTCTTTTACCTGCCCACGCATATGGATCACTCATCATAGTAGTATCTGAATAGCTGGTTTAACCAGTCACATTAATTTTCGTGGTTTAACATTGAATTTTGACTACTGGTTGTTGCATTCATTTCTAGTTTCTTCTATTATTTGTCCAGCATGAAGAATGTCATTATGTTATCATAGGGAGAGGTGGGGTGGGATGTGAGCAAGTTCCACAAATTTTGCAACAGCTCCCACCTTTCCGCTGACTCTGCATGGCACTTTATCTGCCTATTGATAATCCTTTATCATGCTCTGTAATAAAATCACATTCTCCCATATGCTGCTTTTTCTTTTCTCTCTTCTCTTGTTAAGATATTGGGGGTTTAACAACTGGTGCAGTTCGAATTCTTCTCTGTGGCCCTAAAAGGAGGCCACAATGGATTAAGAACATTGCCTGGTCTTTCTGTCTCCCTGTTTTGGAGAATGCCATTTATATAGACATAAATATGAACAGTTACTTATCTGTTTATCTCACACTGCTCAGATATTTCCTGCTTCTCTACACTCCCAACCCATACAACAGGTTGTAAGAGTACAAAATTCCTCTGACCCAATCACGTACCTACTGACAGGCAACTCTGTCTCTCTCTTCCCTGTGAGTGTGCACCTGCAGGACTAATGATATGGAAGAAAGGGTGCCTACTCCCTTGCACCTTTGTGCAGAAATGGGATCAAATTTATTGGGGGAGTGTCAAAATTTGAGAGTTATGTTTTATAGAACATTTGTTTAGTATAATAAACATCTGCAAATGACTATTTATTTCATGAAGTAATTAACATTCCTAATTAGATGCACCTTGCAGCTGCTGTTAATCTTAATTGGCAATAATGCAGTTACATTTTGATACATATCTTCAGAAGAGTTACAGAAGAGAAGGGGGGAAAAAAAAAAAAAGACAAAAATCTGAAGGGAAGGAAATAAAACTGTTCCCACACAGTTCAGAGAGTTCGCACAAAGAAGATCCCATGGCAACAGCGAGGCCCACAGTTTGCCTTATAAAAATCCAAGAATAGATAATGTATCATCTCTCCTAAAACACTTCGCTTCGGAAACCGGAGGGGAAGGTGGGGAGGAAAATAAAATAAAGCACAAGAGGCGAAGAGAAGCTGGGTGACCCCCGCGTGTGTCGCGTTCATCCCCCCGTGCCCCTGCCCTGCCCCAGCCCCGTCCCGGGCGGGCGCGCAGCGCTGCGGGCAGAAGCGGCGCGGGAGGCGGGCGGGGCGGAGGGAGGGAGGGAGGCCCCGCCACCCAGGAGTTTCTCCAGGATCCCTTCCGAAGGGCCCTCCCCCGCCGGCTCCCCCCGGCACGGTCCCTCCTGCGGAGCCGCGGCGGAGCGGCGAGTGCGGCGCTGTCCATCGGGGGGCAGTGCCGGCCCCTTCCTGCCGGCCCGGCGGAGGGCGCGTTCCGCCGAGCGAGCCAGCGCGTCTCGTTAGGAACACAGGGATCGTCTATGCACTGCAGTTTCTCTCGCCTCTCTCTCTCTCTCCCTCCCTCTCTCTCTTCCTCTGCTCCCGAGGATATTTTGGGTGGATTGTGGTTATCAATCAAGACCTCCTCTTCTTTGCTGATCACTTGTCATTTTCACCGGGGATTAGTATCGTTCGGGGCAAGCGGACAACTGATTTTTTTTTTTCTTCTTTTCCACGTCTGGAGAATTTCCACCCCCCCACAAACCTCCCCACTCCCCCCTTTTTTTTGGTGCTGTTTTCTTTTTTTTTTTTTTTTTCCTTTGCGCTGCGGTGCGGGTGCTAGGACCCGGCGAGCACCCTCCCCTCGCCCCCCCCTCCCCACCTCGGCAGCGCTTTCCCAGCACCAGGAAACCTCTCCGGACCGTCGCTCGCCGGATACTTGTGCGGGAAGCCGGGATCTGGCCCTCGGCGGCGCGCTGGGCGCGGAGCTGCCCGCGGGCAGCGCGGGGGCCCCCAGGTCGGCCGCCCCCTTCCCCCCTCCCCCCCCAGCCGCACCTGGATGGTACCTCCCGCCGGCGACGCGGGCACTTTCTGAACTAGGAAGGAAGGGGCGACTCGGGGGGGGGGCGGGGGGGCCGCCGAAGTCTGTATGGAATTACCTGCGCCCGCGGCGGAGCTGGCAGCGGTGGATGGATGGGCGCCGCGTCCGCGGCACTCGCGGCCAGCTCAGCCCCAGGAGTAAACACGGGGCTTCTCCGGCCGAGTGCGCAGTGTGGTGACCGGCACTCGCCTCGCTGACTGATCGCACCGGAGGGATATTTCGGGAGACTCCTGTGGGTAAGGTCATTTTATCCAGGCAAAAGCCCGGCATTGCTAAACTTGGTGGCGGGGACTGAAATGGGCACTTTCGGGATTGCTGCATTAGCCTGATGCGAGGGGGCTCCAGCCGCTATTGGCAGTTAAGTGGAATAACTGCAGTAGGTCTTCTGGTGAGTGCTTTTCTGCGATAAAAAAAAGAAAAAAAATTAAAAAATCTCCTCCCTTCTTCATGCACCCTCTGGATTTGGGGGAGTACTGTAAAAGCAAGGAGTCTTTCTTTGTCCACCTTTTTTTATTTTTTTTTTTTTAATTTCCCCTGTTGTAATGTATTTGACTGAAAAGGGTATGTGGTAGTAAAGAAGCTCTCCGTGATGGAATCTAATTAATATGAGCTCGGAGCCCATCCGCTGGTTAAATAAATGTTTCCAACTCTGTGCAGCGTTCTGCTGCATTTCATAGCTGCAATGGAGGTAGAGAAATCTTGCTCTTCAAGTTGTTAAACTTTAAGGTGGTGATCCTTATTGATCGTGCTACATTGTACTGGTGCTAAAGGGGTTAAATGCCACTGGTAATTTGGGATTACAACTGTTCCTGCAAGGAGATTGTAAACTGAGGGACAGTAAGGACAAAACCCCCCTCAGCTTGATAGTAGAGAAATACCGTAAATGTCACTAGCCTGAAAATTTCTCATCCAGCTGCTCTTGCAAAATATTTCTTTTTTCACCGAATAACTTACCTACTGAAACCTCAGACCACGTGTATGGGAGTTGGAAGATGTGCAAACAGAGATGCTATCTTCGGTATTTCATACATACATGCATCTGGCTGAGGGACTGTGTGGGAATTCATTCCTGTTACTTGTGGTGTGAAGCGAGACAGGGAGAACAAGGAAAGAAAAGATCATCTTAGGAACAGAAGCGAGAAAGGGAACCACTTCAACCTTTAAAGATTTAAAGGGATCCGAGCAATGCACATAGGTGATCTTCCTCTGCTAAATCAGTTCTGATAAGAAGGAATGGGGGGAAGGTTGAGGGAATCGATAGTGATGACGTTGTGCAGTGCAATGCACTGCAATGCTAAAGTTACATGGTGTGTGCGAAAATATGTACCCTTATGTACTGCTGGTGGGTTCATGCATAATGGATGGAAGAAGATATGCAGATCTGTCTGTAGGAAGATGGATGTGTTTGTGCAAAGACGGCGATTATGTAACTTGATTACATCAGTGGCATCAGTCGCCGATAGTGGAATAATATGCTCCTATAGCGTATCGATCACTTGGGTTAACTTTGAGGCGCTCCCGGCAGCGGGGGATGGAGACCTGGGCAGAGGAGGGGAGATCCTTGCTCAGCTCCTGACAAGGGGTTTGCCTCTTGCAGGCTGCCTTTTGCATCAGCGTGCTGCTGGCGGAGTTTCCCCGGGCCAGGGAGTTCACGGAGGAGGAGGAGGAGGCTGCCGAGGCGCTGGTTCAGCCACACCCGGGGAGAGGGCTCCCGAAGAGCCCCTGCAAGGCTGCACAATGGTCCCATTGAGCAGCCCCGGCTGCGTGCTCCTCAGCAAGGTCACACTGCAACCTGGAACTTCGGTGCATGGCAACAGCTGAGCGGAGGAGGAACAAAGCCGAAATTAAAATTGATTCTCCTCCCCCTCCCCCCACCCCCCGCCTATCTCCAAGCGCGTCGTTCGGCTGACCCCTCTTCCAGTGCACTGGTGCCGCTTCGCCCCGAGTGTGAGCGCCCGGCATAGACAGCGTTGTCTCTCTCTCCGGGTGTGCAGTGACTGCCTCGCAGCTTTGGCAGGGTGCTGCTTCAGCGTGTTAGAGTACAGCGTGACTGACTTCACAAAAAAGTATTGTCAGATACAACAGCCTAATATACCTGTTAGATTTGCGGGAAGCTATAAGGTGGTCCATTAGCACATCTCAAGCCTCTCAGAAGTGAGGAGGTGAAGAGCAAAGGTGTAACAGGAGCCCCATCTGTTTAACTCTGATGGACTTTTTAGCAAATTGTCCAGAAAGATAGTGGTATCAAGATATGCCTTAATACCCGTTTTAGAATCCTGAATCACTTTTCCTATCTGTTGAGGGGGAGGAGGAGGAAGAACACTCCTTGAAGCTCACAAAGGCACTGCTGAGGCCCCGTACCTCTAACAGATGCATTTTCTGAAAACTCTAAGCCTGATGAAATCTTAACTCAGCTGAAATGAGTGATCTTATCATCACTGACCTATGTCCTTCCCCACTTCACTCTGAATCCATTCTAACAAAATGCCACTAAAATACTTTTCAGTTAAGAAGAGGTGAGATCAGAGTGAGTTTTACATCTCTTGATAAACATGATCTTCACATACCTACCAGATTTAATGCACTATCAAACTCATGGTAATTTTACCCTACAACTAGCCTGAAAAACAATTTTCTCTGCTTCCCTGGAAACATCAGTATTTTAAAGTTGGTTCACCATTAGTTCCTGACTATTTTCATATTTCTGGAGGATAAGTCTGGGCAAGCACTAATAAATCCTGCTAATGTAGTTTAGATTTTGACATTCATAGAGTATACTGAGTAAATTGGAAAAAAAAGAATGTGAAGTTAACTCTGTTTCCATCCTTCAGGGGTCAGAATAACACTATGGCAACTCCTATGCATTGCTACAGCTCTTATAATTTTTAGACATGTCCATGGAATACTCTGTTCCACCACACATAATTATAGGCATGCTCTTTTTATTGATTCCTTAAAAGACCCCTTGTGACACACAGGCTACATACCTGTACCATCCATCTTAAAGGAAAGCGCATTTGTCTACAGAAGGTGTTATAAAACTGGTGGTGTAAAAGAGTAGGCATTGACAGTGTGGGAATGTATCACATGGTACATGTAAAGTGGCATGCAGCATACAAGGATTTGCAAATTCATGATAATAGAGAGTAGTAAGGAACCAAGTTTTATTTATAGAATAATTTTATTGTTGTAGTTAGCAATACCGGCTCAGTAAAAACAGAGGTTTTCAGCTCCTATCCAATAATCTGTTCAGTTTGCACCAGATGTAGCTTCTTTGAGAGGAAACTCGTTGCTGAAGTAAAGCTGTAAATCACTCGGACAAATGAAGAGAAAATGTGAAGAGAAATATTTACATAAAACATTCCCAGGCTTCAAATCTCAGACCATTGAAGGCAGTGAGAGTTTTGCCACCCACTCCTTGCTGTCGCTGGAGAGCTGGCTTTTAAACAGCAGTGCATGAAGAATAATCTCAGTGCCTCCCTCTGAAAGAGCAGGCTTCTGACTGTCATTATCACTGAAGACAGTAGACTTGTTTTACTGCTGATAGGAAAATCTGAACCATACAGGGCAGATCTTGAAGCTTTTTTACTGTTCGGTGCTGTTCTTGTAATGTATTCAGAGTACTTTCTGTGGGTATTATATTGAACCCATGTATTAGAAAACAAACAAACAAACAAAAGAAAGGATAACCGACTGAGGTTTTCCTTCAGTGTATTTGCACTTACAGAGGAGCATTTGGATATACTTCTGTGTTTCATAACAGCTGATCTTCAGCGGCTGAGAATCTTTTTATTTTTATAGTGCACACTGTGTAATAATATATGGCAGTTGAGACATCCAAGCTCTGATTAATATGATTAAAAGCTAGCAACTTATCTGGTGGTGCTGAAGTTGTAAAGTTTAATTACAGAGACACGCTTTGCACAGCTATAGGTAAGGTTGTGTCAGCATTTCTATTATAAACCTCTGTCTTGTTTCCATCCATTGTGTCAGGGGTCCATGAAATAAGAAGAATCCACAGTAAAGACCATAATGGCTATTTTAGGTTACTGTCATGGCCTGTCAGGTTAGAAATTCATGTGTTTCTCTAAGTCTTTATATGAATGTCTACAGCAGCACCAAAGCAGCCATTATGCTTTATCAGTTCAAGTGTATGTTTCTTTTTTTAAAAATGTAATTAAATATGAGGTGATGGACCACAGTGACTCAGGGGATCATTTAATGTGTCATTTTTTTATGCACTTTCATATTGTTTTCATACTCCTAAAACAAAAAACATATAAAATACAGCAAGGAATTCTACCTGTGGCAGCTTAAAATTAATGCAGTTAGGTGAAAGCTCTTTTGAGGGGTGGGGAGGAAGGAGGGAAAAATGAAGATGAAAGCTTGTGGGTTTTTAATGTTAATATTCCAACTTTGCATATTCCCCTGAGGTAGTCACATATGGAATTCCATCCTGCAGAAAGGGAAAATCCTGTGATATTTGCCAAAGCTCTATAAGACCGGGCAAGGAAATCAGGTAGTGCTGGTTCTCTGTTTTAACACTGAGTACTCAGTTTTTCTAGGTCTCACTGTACCTGTGTATTATAGGCACTCCTGGCACACCATCATTTCATGGTGTTATACAGCACGCTATTTATGCCTCAATAACTAGGTCTGAACAAACAAACCAAGGGTGTCAGTCTTACTGCTTCATGTTCTTAGAAATTTCATGTGTATAAGAACAGCACACAAACATACAGTAATCCTTCAGTGGTCGCAGCATCAACTGCAGCAATTACAAAGATTTTTAAAATTGGAAATGAAGTAGGAGAAAGGGAGAAAATGAAAACACAGAGGTTTTTTTTTTTTTTTTTTTTTTTTTTTTTTTTTTTTTTTTTTTTTTTTTTTTTTTTTTTTTTTTTTTTTTTTTTTTTTTTTTTTTTTGCTTTTGGGAATAATTTAGGAAATTCACAGTGTAGCTTCTGAAAAGAAATACAGAAATCAAATTCATGTGTCAACAAGATCTATACAAGTCTATACAATCAGCTGGCAGACAATGGGTAGTGCTACTTGGAGATTGGATGGCTAGTAGCATCAGAAAGTTTTCTGTTCTTTGGTCCTTCACAGCTCTCCACGATGAATAGAGCATTGTAAAAGAGGAAGAAGATGGGGACTAGCAGAATGGGATAAAAAGGGAGCAGAAAAACATATAAAATATACAGACAATGGTGAAGTATCTACTCTCTCTTCAGAG